TCAGGAAGGAGGGCTCCAGAGCAAACTAATTGATGCAGTAGCCAAATTGCTGGCTCACAACTTTAATGCCAGGGGCTCACAAAGTAGAATTTTTGCTCACAAGACTCCACAGATTAGAGGGAACATTTGGCAACCCTTGGAAAAACCTGACTGTATTGAACCCACTGACGTCCGTTAGATGCTTTCAAACCACAGCTATGCCGGAACAAGTTATTGGAAGGTTTCTTCAGGTTTTGTTGGTCTGTTTGTTTAGTCATGCCGGCCACATGACCACGGAAACGTCTTCGGACAGCGCTGGCTCTTCGGCTTCGAAACAGAGATGAGCACCGCAACCCTAGTGTCGGACTCGACTGGCTTTCGAGCAAGGGAAACCTTTACCTTTACCTTTTGTTTAGTACGTGTGTGTGCTTGTGTGCCTGGAAGCAGGGCTCATTTTATAGAAAAAGCCCAGCGGGAACTCATTAGCATAATAGGCCACACCCAACAGCAGGAACTCATTAGCATATTAGGCCACACCCCTGACAGCACAGCTTATTACCATATTAGGCCGCACCCCCATGTTACCAGAACATGTTACCAGAAGTGTGGTCATCCAGCCACACCCACCTTTTGCTTGTTATTCTGTTTACCTTGTTTGTTGTCAAAACCCAGGGCCTTTTTTTGTAGCAGGAACTCCTTTGCATGTTAGGCCACACACCCCTAATGTAGCCAATCCTAATGAGTTTCTGCTGTTGGGTGTGGCCTATTATGCTAATGAGTTCCTGCTGGGCATGGCCAACTTGGGAGCCAGCCGGAACTCCGTTCCGGTGCGTTCCTGCCCAAAAATAGCCCTGCCTGGAAGTCATGGCTGCAACTGGCAACCCCTAGAGGGGCTCGGATGTTTTTCAGAGAGGCAGCTTGATTGCCTGCCTCTGTGCCCTGAGCTCTGGTATTCCTTGGAGGTCTCCCTTCCAAGTACTTGCCATGGTCGGCCCTGCTTAGCTTTCAAGAGCTGATGAGATCTGGATTGACTTAGCTTTCCGGGTCAGGGTGAGTTGGAAGATTTCTTGAGCCCCATAAGCAGTGTTCCCTCTAAGCCGAGTTACTGTGAGCTAGCTCACCGTTTTTTAGCCTCCTGCTCACACATTCTTGTCTTAGCTCAGCAAGGATGGCTCCAGACTAGCAAACCAATTTATGCAGTCGCCAAATCGTGTGCTCACAACTTCAATGCCGGTCGCTCACAAAGTAGAATTTTTGCTCACAGGACTCCATCGCTTAGAGGGAGCATTGCCCATAAGTAGTTTGGAAAGGGAGCTGTTGTGGCTTAACTGGGGAAAAGGAGACAAATTCAGAGGAGCCAGTTTGGTGTCGTGGTTAAGTGCGCAAACTCTGATCTGGGAGAACCGGGTTGGACTCCCCACTCCTCCACTTGCAGCTGCTGGGTGACCTTGGGCAAGCCGTCGTTCTGTCAGAGCTGTTCTCTCAAGGGCAGTTCTCAAGAGAGTTCTCTCAGCAGCCCCACTGACCTCACAGGGTGTCTGTTGTGGGGAGGGGAAGGGAAAGGAGATTGTGAGTCTGAGACACCAAGTGAAGGGCAGGATATTAATCCAGTCTCCTCCTCCTCCTCCTCCTTCTTGAAGTTGATTCTGGAAATGGACTGGCGATAAAAGAGATGTTTCAAAGCCCGAAGGCTGATACCTCCTGCAAATGGCATGGCTCGCCCAACACATAAGGCTGCCAACTCCAGCCTGGGTAATTCCTAAAGATCCTGGTAGTCCCCCTTCCAAGTACGGACGCTGCTTAGCTCCCGAGTCCTGATGAGATCCGGCCATACCATGCTGGCTTCACTCCCATTTGTTCTTCTAGCACTCTTCATTTTAACAGACTGGTCCCTTTCACTGAGCTTGTTGCATGACTGAGGTGTGTGTGATAACGTGGCATTGTCCCGAATTGCGGTTTTTGTTAGCTGCTGAAGGGCTTTTTTTCCTGGGGAAACATGGCAGAGCAGCGTTCCGGAACCTCTTCGACAAAATCCTCTTTAAAACGTTTAAAAGTCCATGAGTGCTCAGTAGTTAGATTGAAAACTTGATTTCCCTCCCAAAGGTTCCGGCACCTCTTTTTCCAAAACAGAAAAAGAAAAGCCCGGAGCTGCTGTGTGTACTGAAAGGTGAGATGCTTGCATTTTGAGAGAGAACGTTTTAGAATGGGCATGAATTGCCAACTCTGTGTTGGGAAATCCCGGGGGGTGGGGGGTGGGAAGGGGAGGGACCTCAGTAGGTAATAATGCCATAGAGTTCACCCTCCAAGGCTTCTATTTGCCCCAGTGGGAATGATCTCTGTAGTCTGGGTGACTTGGGGAAGGGTGGGGACACGACACACATCAGGATTTTCATACCGTCTCTGCGCACTTCAAAATGCAATGCTTTTCACAGGTGATACCTCCGCTGACGGAGCTGCGGTGGCTCAAGTGGTTAAGACGCTGAACTGCAGGCTGTGGAAGGTCAGTAGTTCAGCAGTTCGAGACCCGAGTGTGCCGCGTGACGGAGTGAGCTCCCGTCTCTAGTTCCAGCTCCTGCCCACCTAGCAGTTCGAAAGCAAGAAATTGCAAGTAGATAATTAGGTACCGCTTCGGTGGGAAGGGAACAGCGTTCTGTGCGCCTTGGTGTTTAAGTCACGCCGGCCACATGACCACGGAAACGTCTTCGGACAGCGCTGGCTCTTCGGCTTTGAAACGGAGATGAGCACCGCAACCCTAGAGTCGGACTCGACTGGCTTTCGAGCAAGGGAACCTTTACCTTTACTTACCTCCGCTGAAGGTAACGGTGTTTTCAAGAGTTCTTTTACAGCCACTTCGAACTCTGTGTATGCAGACGTCTTGCTGCAGACGCCCAGCTGTGAAAAGAGCAAGCAATGAACCCATGCCATGTACATGAATGCACAAAGCTGCCTTCTACTGAATCAGACCCTCGGTCCATGAAGACCAGTCTCATCTACTCAGACTGGCAGCAGTACCCCAGGGTCTCAGGCGGAGGTCTTTCCCATCACCTCCTGCCTGGTTCTTTTAACTGGAGATGCTGTCAGGCTCCTGGTTCAATCAACTCGTCATCTCATAGTCTTTTATAGAAACGCTTTATTAAAACGCAGAGTAGTGATACACGGAGAGATTCTTTGTTCAGACTGATTGAAACATCTAAGGTTACAACTTGTATAGGTAAAAGAACAGGACAAACTCCCATGATCCTCTTAATGCATTGCCTTGCACCAACTGGTCCTTTTGAAGTGCAGAGAAGATCCTTCTCCCCCCCATTCCCATGAGAAAGCTAACACCAGCCAACTGCTCTATAGTAAAGGTAAAGGTTCCCTTGCTCGAAAGCCAGTCGAGTCCGACTCTAGGGTTGCGGTGCTCATCTCTGTTTCAAAGCCGAAGAGCCAGCGCTGTCC